CCCCACCCCCCAAAGCCCCTCTCTTGTGTACGCTTTAACCTCATTCAGCCTGTTAATTACAGTGTAAAGTGTAACGTGTATCGATGTCGATCGGTATTTCATGGAACGAAATCCATGAAATGAAACTCTGAAAATCATTCCGCCATAAGTGATTTAATTGTGTCTTTATTTTGGGATTTAATCCTGATTTGCCTGCTTCTTTAACATCTTTTTTATTAATAACTGGCATACCTACTAATTACTGCACTGCTCTGATGTTGTTCTTACTTGGGGGGGGATGCGTCCACTTATTTACTGCTATGTTCTTTTCCTTTATAAACTTCCCACTCGTCACTCGTTTATGGTGTGGGCAGACCCCTTTGTGCCAACCGCGATATTAGGTGAGGACAACCGTCTCCTTTTCACACTTCCTACTCGCGCGAGCCGGACTTAAGCGTGTGTGTCTCCTGTGGCTAATAGCTATCTGTCGGATTGTGAGCGGGCTGGGGGAGGGTAGGTGGCTTTCTGGTTCAGTTTGGCTGGTTTTGGATGGCTTCTTCACCTCCATACCTGCCTGCTTTTTTCTTTATTTTTTTTCTGTGAGTTTAGGAGTCTACCAAGTGCAGGCTGGCTTCACTCCATCGCATCCACATTTCCGTGTCGACATCACGTATGTCTCTGACCTCTCATGTGCATGGACAGGCGATGTGGACTGGATGATGGGGAGTGATCGAGTGCCGAAGCAGCTTCCCCACTGCTGCCCCCGCCACCCGCCCCCTCTCCCCCTCCCCCCCTCCCCCTCCCCCGTGACCGTTAGCGCATTAGCATGTTAGCGTGTTAGCATTAGTACACACCCAACAAATAAATATAAAAACTGAAGGCTGGGCTGTCATACAAGGGCTTTGTCCCATTAGTCCGCCGCGTACTACGAGGGACGCGGTCTGTTCGGTTTTTGTTTGAACTTTTGCAGTTTTTACGTTTCGTTTTTTGCTAGTGAGAGACTTTTTGGGGGTTTTTGTTTTGTATAGCACATTAGAAATAGCATCTGTTTTCCAAATGATCACCACTGTATGCTTATGCAAACATTCGATTTTTTTCCGAAATAACGAGACTTATTACTAAGTTAATTGTAAAATGACTTGTGTGCTGGATATATAGCTGAAGGCCTGTGGTAGCTGCCCTTGTCATGCCGTGTAGCCATGAGTGGAGAATACATTTAACAGACAGACAGTCAGTTAGCGCAGGAGTGGAAAATTATGATCCAGGTAATCTGTGGGGCCCTGCATTTTGGTTACGTCCCAGTACTCAATTAAATAAATATCAATATTGTTCTTTTTATTTAAAAAAAAAAAAGCAGGTAGAAATTACTTCTTGCCTGAAGAGTGGCTGAAATCCAAGATTATTAGTTAAACCAGTAAAATTTGTTTAAGCCTGTAGATACCAGGTGATGTTTTCAACTTAATTATTAAATAATTTAACTGAGTGCTGAGATGTAATGAAAACTGACAGATACCAACTATGACAGAGCTATCAAATTTAATTAAAAATTGTTTTCATTTAGTTTCTTCATTTGATAATTAATACTTTTCTTAATTAACAATTGTAATACTTTTAAATAAATTGATAATTTGGCAAATTTCATTTGGGAATTTTCAGGTTCTGGCATGCAAAATAATGATTGAAAGATGTTTTAATTCGTCGACAAATTAGACTATTTGGGCGACCATTTGAAAGGTCTCTTGAGCAAACAAGCAGCCCGGATTAATTAATCGGTTTATTCAGACGTGCTTTTGTGCTAGGCGGGCCTATCACAGAATTGAGTTTGCTCTCCCAGAAGGAGAGTGAGCTGCCCTGGATTCATTCAGGACGACTGTGCAGGTGCTCATGCTATATTGTTGCTTATATCCTTCTTCTCCCTTTTCTCTCCTCCTTTTTTCTTCACATTTAACCTGTTATGTATCTCCTTGTAAAGTTCCGATTAATGGTAAGTCTCCAGTGGGCCCTTTTTGGGGAAGAGAGGTTGTGTGTTATCATGGACGGAGCCTCTTCTGGTGTGTGCTGACTTGCATGGCAACATCCCTCCACCCCCTCCGCCTTGCCCCGCCCACTCTTTGTGTTTCCCGTGACGCAGTTGGCTGGCATGGCAAAGCGAATGACCCATCAGAACGCCGTTTGTCGTCTTCCGAGCACCCGTCCTTCTCCGGCTAGCATTTTTTTTTTCCTGGTTTTTAGCTTTGTTTTTTTTTTTTTGTTTTATTTCTTAAGCCATGTTCCTCATCAGACGTCGTGAACGGTCCCTACGGTGACTTGCACGTTTTCCGAGCACCTCCATCGTCCGTGGTCATCGCCGCATTCCGACATCCCCATCTCGCTGTCGTTCAGGATTTAGTAATGACATTTGCCACAATTTAACAAGTATAATCATGTATATTAAATGGTAATATGCTGGAAACATATAATCTTGTGCTATATCTCCAACAGGCATAAAACGTATGTTTTATACACCACTGTCAACAAAACTCTAATGAGTTTGGATGCTTTTCAACAAAGGTGTAATGAAATGTTTTATTTTTGATTGGTTTTATAAAACTTATAATAAATAGGTTAAAATTCATATATGATTAGATAGATAGATAGATAGATAGATAGATTGATAGATGTTTCCTCATGTTTTAATATGACACTGTTGTCTCATGTCCATCCGTCAGTAATGAGCCGTTGCCCCCGGTAGCTGTAGTGTCCAACCAGGCCTCGTTGAGCTCCACGGGCAGCTTGGCCCTGACCAAGCAATGCCTTGCTCTCACTATCATTCCAGACGAGAGCCACGCCGCGGCAAGCGACACCGGCAGCCTGGTGCAGTCTCACGGGCACACGTACAAGACGCGGGAGTCGGCGGACGTGCCGTACCAGACCGGGCAGCTGCACCCTGCCATCCGCGTGGCCGATCTGCTGCAGCACATCACGCAGATGAAGTGCTCCGAGGGCTACGGCTTCAAGGAGGAGTACGAGGTAGGTACCGGCAGGATTCAGGAAGCACTCAAGCGTGACCTCTGACCCCTGTGTCGTAACAGATTACAGACCCTCCTTACCATATTATCTACCCATTCTGTTCACCACCTGACTTTAATTTCCTGTTCCCTATTTTATTTCCTCCTATTATTCAATATTATGTTACATTATTCGGTATTATATGTGGAATTAACAAGCTAGAATGATTTTCAAACATTTATTCTGAGGTGCTCATCAGATAATTAAGAAATTAGCATCAGAATTAGCATTAGCATCCAAACTGCTTCTTGATACGACTATCAAGTAGCTGCTCAGATTTGCACTGTGCTCCTGAACCCCCCTTGTGGTTTGCTTGCAGTGTTGTGCTCCGTTTAGAATGTAATGACCCCCTATCTCCTGACTGTGTGTTTGACTAGCAAGCAGCCATAAAATGTTCTAAGCAAATCGAGCCTCTTGATCCTGCGGATGCTGGGAACCCTAGAGAGAACCTTGCTTCCTCGAAGAGAGTGTCTTTGCTGTTTTTAGGAGGGACAGTGTTTTTTGAGACAGCATTTTAAATGAGGGCACAGGGATATCCCAAACTGTGTGCCCTTTGCCTCCTGCAGTAGGCTCCAGGATGGATGGATGAGAGAGATGGGACACTCTAGCACTGTTGAGTACAGCTCAGGCGAACGGAAAATAAAGATAAAGAATTCCAGCAATCGCTTCCACCACACCTCTATTCACAGGGTTTGCTTGGCTTGTTGGATATCAGTAAGAGCTGCTAATGTCTGTATGCACGGCGAGGGACTGGAATTAAAAAAAAAACAACCTCCCAGAATCCTTTGCTCAGGCTCACAGTTTGGGGCTTCCCCGAGGGCTTCATTCATTATGGATAAAGATTTTTAAGCTTGTGCTAACTGCAGTGCAATATTATCACCACTTAAAAAATACATTGATGCCCCTTTTCAAAGTATGAAGTTTTTTAGAAAAATATTATTTTAAGCCACGAGATGTAGATGTGGTGTCTGCGTATGAGTGCCCAGCGTGACCGACTCCCTCCCGCATGGAGCGCTGCTTCGCTAAGCTCCGTAACGTCACCTTCAGGGTTTACTGCCTTGTCCGTCTGCTGGTGGCTCGACCTTCATGTGTCTTTTTATATTGACAGCGGAAACAATATGCTTTGTGCTTGGAAGCTTCCGTTTCACCTGGGCTGTCTGTGCCTCTGCACCGCGTGTGGATTGGCTGTATGTTTTTCATGCTAACAGCACACAGAAAGGGTCACGGTGGAGGTATAAAATCTGATTACGACTGTATCGTTTGTTCAGTGTCTGTCCTGCTAGTACTCCGAGGAGGTTTATAATAAGGCAACACCTCATCTTTCAGAGAATATTTTGTGGGGTAAAGTATTTTTTTAAATTTTATTTAAAAGCATCATACAATTGAGAAAGCAGCCTTAAATAGTCCCCGGAGTAGGTGGGGGGTTAAGACCCGACCCTGGGATTTGAACTGGCAACCTTCTGATCACAGTCAACGCAGTGACCCCCTGAGCTATACACCACTCCAACACACCAATGTCGTCTTTTGGCGAATATTGCTTAAATTTGAGTCAAATATTATGTCTGTAATGTCTAACAGTGGTCCAGAGGACGCCTCCACATGTTGGTGTGGTACCAAAACGAACATCTGCATCAGCCTGCTGTCAGCCTCCCCCCCCCGACCCTCTATTCCAGATTCTGGCTTACATCATTTTATATACTGAATACAATTACATTCTCTCTGTGTGCCTTTATAGAGACTATTTTCTGGGACTATTACTTGATTGCCTTGTTGAGGGAGCTTTGCAATCATTTTCTGTTTGGAGTTTGTACTTTTTCCAATTTTCTAGAAAAAAAACATTACTGCAAATTATTCCACAGTGCTTTGTGACTGTGACATTTCTCGAAATGCACAATACTGCTTTTTATCGATTGATAAAAGGCCAGATGTATAAAGCAGTATTATTCACTGCTTCCTTAATGAGATTAGAAGGCACGCCTGCCTGGATAGTGTCACCGGTGGTCCGGGCTGATCCATATCCGATCATATCTGAGATGAAGCCCCATCTTTCAGGAAGGGATTCAGCCCCCGTTATACCAGCGTGAAGCAAATCTGCTTTTCCCATTTTGCGGAAGTTGACAGCACTTGCCACGGTACTCTCTGTCAGCTTCTCAGTGGTACATATTCTGTGAAATGTAACAACCTAAAAAAAAATTACATAAAATAATTACAGCAAATACATCATTCTCCCACACCCTCTCAGCCTTTAATCTCAGCCCTTTAATATTATTTTTTAGCACAATAAACCTCTACTTCAACTTGCCAACATGCCTCCATTTCTGAATTTTAAAAAAGCAAATCATGTTCTAGATTTTCTGTGTTTTCTCTCGCCCTGTATAGTCTGTGACAGAGCCGCCCAAAGTCATCATGGCCACAGTGTCTGCAGCACTCGGATAATTAAGCGTGATGTGATGTTACCGCGCGTCTTTCACGATCACTCTGTCGTTGGCACCTTTCCTGGCACGCCGTGCGGCCTGACAGATGCGAGGCGCAGACATTAAGAGTCATTTACACGTGCGAGTTGTAAAGTTTGCAGCTGTCTGCCCAGTTTTCCCGTCACTGAGATGGCGTCCGATTGCGACCCACCACGAGTTCCACTTTTCGGAATCTCAGGCGCCACTGCTGGATATTTTCCGTTAAGTACGGCTGCTCGGTGTAGGATTCCTCCCACAACTAGCTTTGACACCAAGTTGAGTTTGCTCGGGTCTCATCACGGTTCTGTGTCCCTGTGCCTCGTTTGAGGTCCTTCTGAGGTATGTCCTTTGCTGGGACGCGATGACGAGGGCAGAAACGCTTCCGGAACATGAGCTAATGGACGCCTGGGAGCTTTGCCACAAGGACTTGGCTAGAGCTGAGGCCACGTCTGGGAGCTTCAACATGTCTCTTCTTCTGGATATGAAAGCTCTATCAGTTTGTTTTCGGTGTCATAACACTCACCCCGTGCTCAGATCAGTTACCCTACATGTCAGTAATTGCTAGAACGAGCTTTTTGAGTGTTACTCGGAGAGCAGCCCCTGCTTTCAGAAGGGCCAGAGGACGACAGGCGGGGTTAGACATGGCAACGCCGGCTACTCAGCTCCACTGGGCTGGGGTTGAACATGTGGAAGCGCATTTTTAAAGTTCCGCCAGTTCTGTTCTCCTTCTTCCTGCCATTTTGAAGGCAAAGTCACATGGGTTTAGACTGAAAGGCAGCCGCGCTACATCCGTGTTCATCAGGAGTGGCAGCGGGCTGTCTGGAGGGTGGCGTTTGCTTGCCTTTGCATCTGTTTTGACTCGTGCATCTGAAGCGTCCCGCTTGGCGGTTTCTGTGAAAAGCTAGAAATAGTCCGCGTTCCCTTTCTGTTCAGTGGAACAACAAACAAATGAATATGACTTTAAGTAGACCTTATGTATATTTCTGGGGGCTTTGTCAGAGTGTGCACCCTGGCCTCTGCTGCTGTAGGTTCTCCTGCCAGTGGGAGGACAGAGGAAGATCTTGCTGTTCTTCACTGAGTTAAGTTCCTCTCTCGGGGTCCCAGAGCGGCCACATCCCACCCAGAAACTCATTACAGGTGTCAAGCTGCAGCCATAGTAAATGCCTCAAGCATCCTTTTAGCTATGTAGCATTTTTTTTTAGCTATGTAGCATTTACTTCCTTCCTCCTGCTACTTCAGGAGTGACTCCCATATTTACGCTGCCATGTTGTTTAAAGCTAATGCAGAGACAATTGAAATTACATGCATCTACATTTGATGGCTAATGGTTCTTTGCATCATACCTGAGATATTAACGTAAGATTCACCAGCAGAAACAGAATAAGGTATATTTGCTAATGTAGCTGTTGGACTGTTTAGTGCTGTGTTGAGAAGGTGCAGCAGAGTGCCACAGAGAGTGCATCATCATGACGGGAACTGGAAACGGCAAAATCCTGACTAGATGAAGTCAGTTGATTGGGATCATCCTCTGCACTACCGACACGCTCTGACTGCTCTGTCGCTCTTGCCTGCACGCTGTCACCCACAAACGTGAAAAGTCTGCGTTTCGCCAAGGCAAATAACTCCATATATGGCTTCAACCCCTTCATCACGAGTGAAGGATGTCAGCGATTACGGCGTCAATAAAACAGCACACGGGGGAGAATAACCGGCTGCCTGTTTTTCTAAATGTTTTTCATCATCGTTGCGGCGGCCTGTAAATATTTACTGTTATTTATTTAAAGTGGTACCAGCATATGTCCATGTGGGGTAAAGTGGATTATGGAAGGAGTGCGTTTATACGCGAGTCCAGTCTAATCTGAGAGCTTTTAAGAAACATGTAAAATACGCAGGGTGAGAAGAGCCAATGGCATTCCTCTCCGCTTTTGCATTCATCTCATTGCCTTGGTGGCCTATGAAATTAGCAAACTTAAAATTCGTGCTTGGCACCAGATAGGAGTTAGATAAAAAAGAGGATTGAATCACAGAAAAACAGTCAGAATATTGTGCTTGTTGTATCATGCAAATAAGAGCAGGATATTAATTTAAGAGGAAGTCAGATCTAATTTAGTCCTGACAAGAAAATCTGTTTTACAAAACGTTCGGAGTATTGACTCTATATGCTAATTCCCAGTCTCGCTTTATTTTTTTTGTGTGTGTACACATCATTAGCTGATGACAGAAAGAAACGCATGAGGAGTTGTGGGCTGTCACATGTGGTCCTGCGGCAGTTCGCAGGTCATATGAGGAGAACCGCCATGTCGTTGCGAAGCACGGGAACTGGCGGGAGTGGTACCCTCGGTATGCTTCACTAGCAAGTCGGAACGCTCCCCGATCGGCTTCAGGCATGCCGCAAGGCAGAGGCGTCGAAGAACACGAACGCCATTCAGAGTTCACGCCAATCCCTTTCTGTGCCACAGTGGGTCCATGAATTATGGTAGGTGTGGAGAAGGTCATATGAGGAGGTCATCTAGTGTTTTGTAATCTGTGTGGTGCATACGTATCCTCTCCGAGAAAGGGTGACGGATTCTCGTTATAAAGGCTTATTCTCAATATCTCCAGGATAAAAAGATTCTTCAATACATTAAAGATCCACGCTTTCACTCCTAAAGGCCTCCTCTTCAGGGATAATCTTTGTGTTATTTTTTTTTTTATTTTGTACGCCCCCCAGTTATGTCTGTTATCCAGAGTCCTGGAAAGTTCTGTTCCCTTCTTTTGAGTCGGTGCTGTTGCAGCACGGAATGCTGACGTCCCAGAGTACCGTGTCTCTCAAAGACCCTTCAGCAAGAAGCCAGCTGATTGACATGGCCTGTGAGTTTTTCTGAGGCCCAAATTGGCTCCTTCAGCTGAAGAAGAGGCACAGTTCAGAAGAAGAGACTCTGATCTAGCGATGCCATAGATCAGTGTTTCCCAATCAGGTCCTCAGGGACCCACAGCCGACCCGCGTTTTTGCTCCCTCCAAGCTCCCCGCCAGACAGTCCACATTTTTGCACCCTCCCAGCTCCTGGTAGGAGCAAAAACGTGGGCTGTCTGTGGGTCTCTGAGGACCGGTTCGGGAAATACTACCATAGACATCGACTTTCTGAAGAAACCGCAGGAGATGCTGCCTGAACTCTGTAAGGTGGTATGATGCTTCATTATCTGATAAGCACAGCGAGCGGCTTGCTACAGAGACCCCGCCTGCCATATCTCCGCTTCCGGAGAATCACTAAACCACCAAATCCTCAGTAGCTTCCCCGGTTGAGGTTTATTTTCATAATTAGCGCTAATTGAGCTCTGTTTGAGGGATAACGGGCAAAGTCGGCACGCATGATTAATATTGTATGAGGGTGTAGGAAGCGGTTTTGATCTGTCCACAGATGGAATACATTTTCCTTGAGTCATGAGGTGAGTTGTGGAGGGAGGTATATGGGGTGGGGGGGCAGCTCGCTTTGTGGCAGCACCTAAGGGTTAGCCTTGGCATCTTAATGGGCCCCCATCTTGACGTGACTCGGAGAAAGCCATTCTCCCGCCATTTGATACTTGGTAATGGTTCGGATACATCCCCCCCCCCATGACATTTACCCCCTTCTAAGCATCAGGGCCTGTGCTCCTTCAGCCACCTCTCAAGGATGTCGACTGGTCTAGCTGACCTCTCACTCACTTCCTCCCAATTCTGTTCTCTTTTTTCCCTGCTGGACAGAGCTTCTTCGAAGGACAGTCGGCACCATGGGATTCAGCGAAGAAGGACGAGAACCGGATGAAGAACCGATACGGGAATATCATCGCATGTGTGTACCGAAGGCCCCATTGCCCCCCATGCCTCTCCTGGCCCCTCGCTCACGCGGCTCAGTGCTCAATTCCATAACAACCATTGAATGTTATTAATTCCGTCAGGTGTTTCTGTACAAGCACATCTGTTTCCCTGGGGTGTTTCTGGAGAGTTACAATTATCATTTTAATGACATTCCTTTCGAAAATTTGGGCCCAGAGCTGTGGTCTCCTCTCAAACCTACATGCTTGTTTGCATGCTCTCGTATCTCTTATTCTCATAAATTTCCCGGGCAATTATGAAGATGAGACAGTCTTTATTGAGCCGGTTGCTGAGGTGGCCTCCACTTCTCACATTCCTCCCAAGCCAAATGCTGGTCCCTTTCCCCTCCAGCAGGTGGCGATGTCCCACACACACACACTTCTGTCTCCATTGTGGTTTTGTGCAGGGCCCGCGTTAGATTCCAGGGCTCACAGAACTTGAGGTGGCCACACATCAAACTTTTCTTCTGTGGGACAGATCCCACAGAGGTCCCCATGTAATAATGAAATAATCTGTTCACGTTGCGTTTTCATCATTATGCAGAGAAAAGATAAAACGCAACATCAAAAGAAGGAGTCTCTATGACTCTATTTTTTTAATGACCTCACTTGAAAGAGGGATGCAAATTTAGACTGATAATTAAAAAATATTGATCTTGGAAGATTTAATTAACACCGCTGTCATGAAATATTTTAACTTAATGGTGCTGACTTTGTTGACCATTGAGTTTTAGATTAGCTTAAAAACAGGGGTAATGAGAACGGTTTTATTAATAATCTGAAACCCACCCTGACCATATAAGTACTCATTAAAACTTTATTATTTTAAACTAATTTTGGCTTTACTTCATAGGACAACATTCAACACTATGTCAATAAATAAACAGTGTGACATCTGAAATATAGTCTGTATCCATTAGTATGTTTTGGGGATTGGAGATTCCAGCTCTCTCTGGATTTCTCTCTCTCTTTCGTTTTCCAGCTTTCACCATCTGTTTTCTTCCCCCACTTGTCTCCTTTCCCAGACGACCATTCCCGAGTCAGGCTCCAGGCCCTCGAAGGAGAGCAGAACTCGGATTACATTAATGCAAATTATGTTGACGTAAGTACAAACACCGGCCGGGTGAGGCTTGGGTGTGCGAAGGTCATCAACGCAAACACACACACACGATCACCCCCCACCCTCCCCCGATTTCCCTCCTTAAACCTACAGAGAAACACCATCAATCCAGAGTTCCAGACGGCATGTCAGCAAATCTGACTTTGATTCTCCTCCCCTGCAGACAGGCAGTGCTGTTTAGCGGTCGGGTGCTCGAGCAATAGCAAGCACTTCATCCACCCCCCCCCCCCAGAACAATAATAGTTTTGTTTACAAATGGAGGGAATTCTGAATAGCAAACAATCTATAATGATGCTAAACACAATAGAATGGTCATACGTTTGGCCTATAAACAGTTGTGGGTGGTTCTGAATCGACCAAACACGCATGGCCATTTCAGGCTTGGGGACGGGTGCAAGATGCTCCCATGTGCCTCGTGTTCTCCGTCTGAACACGACGTGGCCCCTCGTGTTGCAGGAATTTCCGGCGCGTGGCCATCGCGACGTTTCAGCTGGCTAGCAGATCACAGCTTTGCCGGACACAATGCCACGGCGATTCTGCCGCCCGCCGAGTGCCAGTTGATTCCGCATGGAGGAGACATCTCCTGCTAGCTAAGTGACGGAGGTGCTCGGAGAGATCCACGGGGAAATTATGAGGATGCGAGCAGAGCGGATTACAGATGCACTGTGGGATGGGATAAGGCATTAGTAGGAAAATGAGGCTGTTGCATACTTACATGCACTTGCTTATAACTAAAAAAACATGCAGTGGATGAAACTGACAGCAATTCCATGCGACAGGCAGCTGGCACTAACTGGGAAGTATCGACTTGGGATGCAATACAGCTCCTTCGGATGGAGCGGCACCGAGTCCCGGAGCAGCCCCCTGGGTGCGGGGCTTGTCGCCATGGGTCGGTGCCCCTGCACTGGGAGCTCGCCCGAGCGGATCCGCCAGCTGTTTACGCTCGTTTCCCGCCGACGCCGTCGAGAGCGTAAATGTTATTTCCGTCCCGTCTGCCTGGTGCAGCGCTGCTCTCCCTTGCAGCCTGTTGCATATTTATGAATACAAAATGAACAGAGCCACCACACCCCTCTCGACAGCACTCCCCCCCCCCTGCCCCCCCACCAAAAGTGCCACCATCAAATCAACAGTAAAGAGAAACACATCCGCAGCGAATCATAGCGCTCTCCTTAAACGACTCTGCGCGGTCACATCTCAGGTGACAGACTGGATGTCTCGATTCTTGGAAATCTGGAAAATGAACAGACCAGAGCCTCATCAAATGCCAGCATGGCAGTAAACATCACAGCGACTATGCCAAGGCTGCCCCGTTAGCCACATGCGCGTGGGGGCGCTGCCCCCAGAGGGACCTGAGGCTGTGTTACTCATGCAACTGAATTCATGCCGAGTGTGGCGATTATGTAATATGCTCAATTTTAATCCTGCTTTTCATATACTAATTTAAAAGTTATCTCAAGCATCCTGCATCTCCAGCAGCAGACAAACGCTAAAGCAGTGTTTTCCAATCCGGGGGAGCAGAATTGTGTACTGTCTGGCAGGGAGCTCAGCGGGAGCAAAAACTATGGTATGACTGTGGGACCCCAAGAACCAGATTAGGAAACACTGCACTAAAGAAATACAGCTAAAATTTAGCTGCCTTGCTTGGGAGGTATAATAAGTGCCATATTGTCTGCGTGTGTCTGCGTGTGTCTGCGTGTGTCTGCGTGTGTCTGCGTGTGTCTGCGTGTGTCTGTGTGTATTGACATGCTGAGGACAGCTTCTCAGAAGCGAGTGAATGATGCCAGACTAATGAATGCAACCCAGGTGGCTGTATCACCTCGCTGCCCCCACCACTGCCTGCTGTCTTAAATCTGCATCTGCATGCAAGACATCACTCTGAAGAAACAAACCCAGCGTGTTTAAAAAGGACCCTTGCCTTATTCAAGCCTGCATCTTTATCAGTGTGGTGTTCTGCATCTCCTTGCTCCCGTAGCCTCCGGGATAGGTTCTGGACTCCCACCTGAACCTGACTAGGACATACAGGTATAGAAGATGCATAGATGGGAGTTCTGGATCTCAACGTTGCCTGTTCTTTTGTAATAAACAAAGTCACTGCCAAAATTATGAATAATTAATATATTTTGCCTCAGCAAGCAAGCGAACAGTTCTCTATTTGCTTTTATGAAAACAAATATTTCAGGGTGATAGTGTATAGATTAAACTAATGCCTTGTAGTGGAGTGGTTTAGTTAGCTGTGTATGTTTGAGCAGAAATTTCCAGAATTTCTGCAACCGAGAACTCCAGATTGTAAATCCTATTACATATTTATTTCAATATAGGTGTCCAACGTATACACTATGATTCTATACAGGAATTAAATATTGATAAATTGCTGGATAGTTCTGGGATTAGTTTTGCTGGGATTTAAAGTGTGCATTAACCATTAGTGGTCTTAAGCGCAGTTATTATAAAAATAGGTTAAATTTACTGTAGCTTAATCGGACTAATTCCATCACCCTGCCCTTACTTGGAAAGGAACTCTTTTTTCCGGCGATGTACCTGGCCCCTTAATGGAATGTTTCAAAAATAACACTTGCCGTATCCCACAGGTCTTCATAATAAATTAACCGTCATCTTAGCGCCTGAAGGTAAACCTACTTTCTGGAGTCAGGACAGTACGAGTTTCGCCGCGGCTGAGATTTATTTATTTTGCAGGGGCTTTTGTTTAGGCAGCACTGGCGATCAGAACACACAGGCGGGGTCCCGGGGGCTCTCGGGGCAGCCGGGCCTGCGACGCACTGCACATGTCGTATTTAGGAGCCGCGTCGCGAACCGAAGTTTGCTGGAGAATCTCTCCTCCATACAGAGGCCCAAGAAGACCAGTCTGGTCCAAATGTTGTTTATAAACAGAAAGAAGTGGAGTGTTCAGGGAGCCGCTCACGCGGGGCCGGAGTTGATTGGCTGTGTGTGTGTGTGTGTGGGGGGGGGGGTTAGTTTTGGTTTTCGGGTGCTAAAGTTCTTGGCGTACTAGGAGCCAGGCTTGTGGAACCTGCGGGCTGTGAGCATTGGGCTGAAGGCCAGGCAGAGAGATGCTCCCTGGAACAACCCCAGCAGAGCAACGGTGCAGAACCTGTATTTATGTTTTATAACTCAGCAGCGATAATAAACACGGACAGGTACATGAAATCAGCATGGGTGGTGTCAGACTCAGATGCTGTTGACACCGACGGGAAATTTACGCTGGTTATAAACGCGCTTGCTGTTGTCAACGCTCCCCCTGGTGGATCGTTATTCTGTAGAAGTGGTCCATGGTCTGCACATTAACAAATAAACAAATCTTTATGTGGACTGGGCAGATAAAGAAGTCATTAAAAATTAAAAATTATTTCAATGGTTTACGGAGCGCAGAGGAACAGAGCAGGGGAAGCTTTCCTTCATGCGCATTCCTTTATTTTGGTTGGGAAACATTAATTACTGTAGAGTTAAATTAAAAAGGGTTAAGATAAGGCAGAGGCGAAACAAATGAGACAATGGGGCAGTTTTGCGTGTGGGAATAGCCATTGAGCTTTAGTGTTGAGTTTCTCCGCACGTACTGTAGCTTGCGCTGGGTTGCCGGATGCTTGACAAATAAAATTTGAGGGATCAACATAATCCCAGGGAGATTGAGCCTATCGCGGAGATAAGTGCCTATAAGTCTGTTTTGGGGGAATTACTCGCAAAAGTTGAGGGTGTGTGTGTGTGTGTGTGTGTGTGTGTATGCTTTTCCCATGCAATGTACGTCTTAACAATTCAATGTGTTTTTCTGGGACTCCTCAAAACAGTGATGGGAACTATAGCATTCAGAGGGGATAAGACGACAGCGACCAGCAAAGTCTGCAGTTTGAGCCACAGAAAGAAACATTTTGCAATGTTTATCATGTATTTGATAGTCAACCGTGTTTTTGGTGATTAAATTACCAGCAGAGACCACAAACAAACACAACTCCTTTGTGAAGAGGTTTCACTTGATTTGTCTGTTGATTCATTCATCTGTCTTTCACCTTACCATCTGTGTCTCAACTGTGTCTTTCAGGGTTACCACAGACCAAACCACTACATCGCTACGCAAGGTAAGTTTCCTTTATCTTTGATCATGCCTGTGGATATTGACATACGTATCTGAGCGAGTTTACATCAATTTCTCTCCACATTCTGACTTCTTGTCAAATTTTTGTCCTGCTCTTGTCGGATTCTGCTGTCCGCAGCAACCAGGCCAGCCCCAGATACCTCCCACTCCATTCAATACACTTTTCAGAGGATAGATTTGATTTTCATCATTTTTCATTTTAACGCTGTAAAGGTGCCAGAGTGCAGGTCATAGGTGTAAATACCATGTCCCCTTCATTGAAGGCTCTGGTTACCAGTAGCTCTGTGGTGCGGATGTGTGCTGCAGGTGGGCGTCGTGTTTATGTTGGAAATTGTGTCCACGGATTCTGCCTGGTGTTGTGGCATAAGTCCAGGGGGCGGACCAGCCACCCCCCCCCCACCTCGCCTCCAGTCCACTCCTCTGAAGCGGCAGGTTAGGTCTGTTAATCAGCTCCACGACCTGGAGTGCGGAGTTGTAAATAAGCGGATTAGCCGGCGTGTCCCGGCGCATTTTGTCACTCGGTTAATCTCGCCGACAGATGCTCGTGCGCGGAGCGCTCCCGGAAGCCCCCGGGGTTACGTCTGATTGATGGTTAATTGTGTTGAAATTCACGGCGGCCCTTTTCCCTCACGTCGCTGTGCTGGGCACGCTGGTAACTCTGTGCAGCTAAAAGGGAGGCAAATGTAATCAGTCTGTAATAGACTCACAATCTGGTTTAGTGGAGCTGGGAGTTGCATAATTACCTGTGTATTAGAGCGATGCCCTGCTATAGCAGCAGCCAGTCTGGCAGGAGGCATCCTATGGTTTAAGTGGCTCTGAAGATAAAATGCCAGGAAAAGGACAAACAGGAGAACGGCCCTTTCATCTGATACCACATCAATAGTTGTTTTTGTTTGCTCCCTCCATCCTTTCCGCCGTGGACGTAGATATCCCAAGGATTACCCCGGAGTCGACAGTAACCCAGAACCGGCCTGCGCATCCTTGGAGAACCACTTTAGCTAATGTCGGTAGCTAGCGAACGTCTGTTGTGAGCAGCATCCAATTAGGCCTTACCTTTCAAAGAGGCCTGTCTCCGCAGAGGGGGATGGAACATTAAAAGCCCAGAAAGATCAAAGGGAGACGTCCTGAAGGCATATGGGTGCCTGACAGTGCACCGCTTGCGTTTTTTTTATCTGTGCGTAATGGCAGAGGGGTCCTCGCTGCACCGTTGTGCTGTTTACCACCAAAACTGGTGATCACAGGGATTCCCCGGGGAGTAAAAATAAACCAGATATTCTCTGAGAGGGTAGATGGATACCGAGGAGTGACTCAGAACATCGTTCCTACAGAAATACAAAGCCAGAGGCTGTCCCCTCCAATGTCACATGACACCACGTGACCGCTGCTAACAGAGCACCAACCGATAAGCTATATATTTTTTTCTCTTCCTTTCCACCCACGCACTGCCCCTTCGCTAACACCTCACATCCTCCCGAACTGACAGTCGGCAGGGTGGAGTGATGACGAATCTGCTGTAGATGTCCGGTGTCTTTCTAGAGACTTCTATCGCAGTATGGTGTCCATAAAATCTTTTTAAGGGCTGCAAGTGCTACTCTTACCACCCCACCCCACGGCTGCATATTTCCAGAGAATATTTTACGGGGAAAAAAAATGTTGGTGCATCTGTGGTTACAAACAGAATCATGAAATATTCATACAGGACGGGAAAACGGCATATATGGTTTGATTACTGTATTGCGGTGAAATCAATTGATGTGCAGCTGTCACATTCAGCCTCGGAAAGAGAGGGGCTCTGCCTCTACAGAGTCGAGCACGCCTCCTGTGTCGCTGCTGAGGTTGTCAGTGACAGCCACTGCGAATCCACTGGAGATCACGTCTCAGACAGGCTCGTCATCTGCGCTGATTTAGAACGCCGGCAATTAAGCTCTCCGTTTCTGCAGCTGCTCCGGATGTTCCCAGTTATTCCGTACGTCATCTCCTGCTGTCCTGTTTTCCCCAAAGACAGAGCACCCCAGGACATTAGGCATTGGCTACCACCCTGGTCACGTGACACGGAGTCGCTCGGTAACCACTTACACATCACATGGCCTCTCGGGGTATCCTGTCACGTATCCGAGATGGTGATTCGCTCACCTGTCAGCCCAAAATCCCAATATTTCTCTTATCACATTGTCTGAATGTCTTTACAGTCTACCCTGTAACGTAAAGAAAAAAAAAATAATCACAGCCCCCGAAACGAATTCTGAAACCCTCCGATTCTGTGACGGAACATACCATGATTGGTGAAAAACTACCAGCATCTGGGGGAGTTGAGAGTCTCTGTGGACGCTCAGATTTGTGTTCGTGGGGGGGGATGTTTCTGCATTATAACCGCAAGAGAATTTTTGCCAGTGACACTGCAGCACATGCCATGCAGAGACCAAACACCATGGGCTGGAAAAAAATAGACTGCTTACCTAAAGAGTGAACCTGAAAGTGGTGTCATTTCCGAGAGATCTTAGGTTTTTGAAGTGCAGAGAGATGGGGGGGGGGGGGGCATGGGCGTTTTGTGTGAACATGAATATGTAAGCCTCCGAACGATTTTGCTGGATGTAATTTTCCCCAGCTCTAGGTAATGCACATCGCCTCTCAAGAATGCACTCGGATTTGCATACGTTAATTTGGTTGTCAAGCACAATTTCTGAGTTTGCCTACTGATTAAAAATAATACTCATTTGAATTAATTAAATTTGCAATTTCTTTCCCATCAATGGGCCATTGTTGCTTAGCGTGCTCTTAAATATGAGACTTACTTAAGTCCAGGGATGTTAATATGAAAATCTGTACTGACTGACCTGGTTGCTTATCTTATTGGATTTATTAAAAATGCAGGATGTCAAGTTTCTCGCAGCCATTAAATGAGTGTCAACATTGAACATAATAAATCTCGAGTGTGTTTTTTTTTTTTTTTTTTATGAAATCCGAGGAGTGCTACAGGAGGAAGGGGCTGGTGTCATGCCATTAATTAATTAACTGATTTGAACTGTTCATGTTCAGTTTGTTGATACCAAGACAGCCCATTAAAATGTTTCATCAGCTGTGGAATTAACGTAACACTAAGCATCAAAATGACTCATAAATCGGTAGTAAGCAATGTATTTTGTCCAAGATTACTTGAATATGAGAAGCAGAGAAATTTACCTGTACTGCTTGCAACTAACCAGATAGCAATTTATGTACCGTTATGAAGTCATGGCATGATTTCCTGCGTGTGTTATTAACATCGCATCGCCCCTTTCTCGCCAGGCCCCATGCAAGAGACCGTCTATGACTTCTGGAGGATGGTGTGGCAGGAGAACACGGCGATCATCGTCATGGTGACCAACCTGGTGGAAGTTGGAAGGGTAGGTTCGCCATGATCAAAGCCGTTACCTTGTAGTACTTTTCACATGCTTACTTGAGCACAACCTTGTTATTTATTACCCTTTTTTGTTCTTGAGATTGATATTGATTTAAATTTAGAGCCAGCCTGGTGCTCTTCTCTAGAGCACAAGTTAGCTTTACAGCGCAACAAGCCAACATATGTTGGATTTACAGCATAAAAGCCTTTGTAAGTTAGCGATTCCTGCTGGTTACACTGATCTGTTAAGATTACTGTAGCAGTCCATTAAGATTCTTAACTAATGGATTTGGTAGGTTGCTTGTCCCAATAAGAAATTAGTGCCTTTATGCTCAGATCAGAAACTGCTGGTTCTCGCTGACTTAGAATAACTAAATGCGGATGTCATTTGGGTGGGAGTGCAGATGATACTGTTAGCTTGTTAGCCTAACAGGGCTGCCTGGTGTTTGGCACTGTGATTCCCAGCACTGGGAGGTAAAGTACTGGCCATCCTACAGTACATACCTCTCTCTTTCTCTCAACACAACACCACCATCCACACCCCTGGAAAAGGTCTTGCTAGCACAGTTGGTTTTGCCAGAGATCCGCAGTGGGGCCTGGACCCGACATGGAAGGGACCCATTTGTACTCAATCTAGTCTTTACGTCAAGCAGCATACTTACAAAACGTGTAGTTGATCAGAACGATAAATCCCTGTGACATTTCTGCAAATTCTGTCTAGTGGAAATTTGGATTGTCACGGATCAGGCTTGTGAAGTAAGAAAATTTATTCATTATGCATTAAATTTTAACTGACGTTTAGCTATAGTATAATTTATGTGTCTGTTGTTTTTTTTTTTAAATAAATTATTTATTAAATATTTGTACACTCGAATTGTGTTTTTTTCTGTTTTTTTTTATAAACATAGTCAATGACCAGATTTTCAAGGCTTTATGAAGTCGTATACAAAAAAATTATCCACACACTTGAGATTCATGCATTGTATGATGCGTTTTGTTTTTGCTTGCATATCTATCTCAGTTAAATGCATTTCATTATAATATACATAAGCATCCTAGTGTGCATTTTACCTTAAATACACAGACACTTGTACGTCTTTCTACTTCGGCACCTAAAAAGCTAATTTCTCTACGTGTTACAAGCCGTTCGAGGAAGCTGAAGAGAGGAAGCTTGGAGAGTCTGTAAAGGTAATTGTCTGACATGTTTGTAATCATGCAGGTAGACAAACAAACACTGTAACTACCTGGACGAGTACTAATGTAGCTCTTTTTATACCTGAACCCTTGAGCACAGAATCCAGAGCTTGGCTTTTCCGCAGCGGTCCTAAAACTGTCTGTCAGAGGCTTGAGTTTGCATTGTATCAACCTCTTTATTTGTATATGTGTCACCCAGCGCCATTTTCTGCCATGTCTGTCTTCAAGGCTCATGTGATGCAGCCTGTTGAGGGACGATCCATGGCCACTCACGAATCCTTCCACTTTCCGCGCCTCTGATAAGCTACCTAATTCAACTAGCAGCTTACTCGTGAGGCTGGCCTGTTCGACATGAAGATAAAAATCACATATGGCTCACTGGATGCTTTACTCAAACTTTCTGTGGAAGATAATTCACTGTTTAAAAGGTTAAAATCAGCCGTTAGTAATCAGAAAGCAGCCTGGCACTCACTTAGCATACCGCTAATCTGTGTTAGCACTGTGCAATGAGAAAGATATTAGATACTGGCTCGTTTTCCAAGGCTAGTTTATTACGATTCATACATTGACACTTCCATCAAAATCTCGAATAATACGGTATATACAGTACAGCATATATTGATGGATTCAAGCCTAATGAATAACAAATTTTTCCATAAATAAGGTCACGTATGTGAGGAATGAAATATCTGTGTTCCTCTGTATTGCTTTTTTGAAAATGTAGCTAATAAGACTTTTTTTCCCAAGGTGTCAATTTGGCTGATTTAGCTTCTTAAAATACATTCTGCACCAGAGCCCAAAATGACACGTTCTTTTTTGCCGGCAATGGATTAGACCGTGTGCAGCATCTCATCTGCAGCCAGGAATGGGGCATGCAGACAGGTCGTCAGGCTCCCTTTGCAAAGACCCTTTTTTGCACTAATAGGATTTTTAAGACCCCTGACTCCTCATGCGTTAAGAAGAAAAGAGCAGGGCTGGAGAGATGTGGAATCATTTACGAGTTGCAAATGTGAGAATGAAAAAGAATTAATGTGAGAATTACCTCGAAAGTTATTAAATGAGAAAACTATTTACACTTATTTCTTGAAACGGAGTAGAAAGCAATATTGAAAAAGCTTATCTGAACTTGTGAAAAATTCATCATACATTATTTGCTGCAGGTTCTTTCTTAGAGGTAAAAATAAATAAATAAATAGATTAAAAAAGGAGGGCTTATAGGTATTGGCCTTGTTTAAGGGTTACCCTCTTGTCCTTTCAGACATTTCTAGAAAATGAAAGCACTTTGACCCATTGTGCAGAAGAATATATTCACATTACAAAAGAACAAAACGTTTTCCTCTGAGCTCATCAGAGCTCTGCTGGGTGATGCTCACAAAGGCTATTATTGGCAGACGTGCTGATGACAGCCCATGAATCTCTCTATATGCTATGTGCAAAGCATAAAAATGTTGTGCGTTCATATTAACTTTGTTTTAACGCATGTTGGCAGTAAGGGTAAGTATGTATGTTTTATGTGCGCTTAGTGGTGGCACACAGATAAAATGTAAAGCTCTTTTAAAGAATGTCCAGTATATAATATTTAAAAAAATATGTTACATTTTTAAAAGTTTTCAAATTCATGTTCATGTATAAATGATGTGCTGTTGCATCAGCAAAGTTAAAAGCTATTACTTGTGATAAATAAATTACTAGAGAGGAAATGGGATAGAGAGAGAAAAATATAAGGAATGGAGAACACAGGGAGACTCAGGAAAACACGATAAGATGAACTCCTAAAATGCCGAAATAAACAGGAGGTCAATAAAATGCAAAAAGTGCATTTCATCACATATTAAATTTTTAGGCTCAGTCGATGTTTCAAAAGTTCACAATATTCCAAAAATAAGTTTCATTGATAAAATGCTAAAAAAAAACTGAAAAGTAACAGATTATGACTGATATTTACTTTAATATTCATTATTTTGTGTATGGTCATATTCATTCATTTGTCTTGGTTGTGCTTTTCTGTCGCTGAAAGACAAAACGTATTAATGAGAAAAGTGTTGTTTGTCAATGCATTGACTCGGGTGTGTTGTTTACATTGATTGGCCTTCTATGACGTTCTGCTGGTTAAACAAACACATGCAGAATTAATGTGTGAAATGCTGTGATGCTATTGTCTTTTGGTGACCCGCATCATTATTGAGGGCACTCCCAGAATGGGACACCAGCCCAATGCAGGACACAAACAGCAGCTTAAAAACACCAGGTCTAGACGTTTTGCTTTGGATTGTGGGAAGAGAGCAGAGAACCTACAGAAATCCCATGGGGACAGGCAGAGGTCATGCAAACTCTCAGCTGGGGACGGATCTGAACTCGTCAGCTGGGAATGACTCTTCTCGAATAAGACTGACGTGTCGGTTAACGCAAGGAGTTGACATGATTGAGAATTCTGGAGAAGGATAGTCAGTATGGATCACATCATCGATCATCCCCTTAAACATTTGTAGCGGTATAACAGATTATGACAGCGGCTAAGATTACATACGTCATCCAGCTGAGAATGTGTGTGAGCTTTATAATGCATCCAGGTGCCATAATGGAATACATTTATATTACTGGAATACCAATCCGTAGACACCTCTAACTTATTCTAACTGTCCTGCAGTATTTTGATTGATTACAGCTGAATAGTTGATGGCTCATTGTAGAACATAATGATGCTCTTGCTACCAAAGATGGAATCACTTGTGCTTTGTGGCTGGATGAGATCTTGTGGCCATAGATGGTGCTGTCCCTCTTTTTGAAGGTGAAATGCTGTAAGTACTGGCCTGACGACACTGAGATCTACAGGGACATGAAGGTGACGCTCATCGAGACTCAGCTTCTGTCCGAGTATGTTATCCGGACCTTTGCCGTGGAAAAGGTGAGACACCCCATTGTTGTCCACTCTGCAGGAACCACAACTTACCTGTACTTGGCTCTTACCTTGTGTGTAGTGCTAAGCTTCTAGATTTAGTTTAGTTTATGTATTTTACACACTGTAGGGAACCTTCAATATCTCTTTGTTATCACATTTTGTATCTGACCCTCCATTTCTCATTCCTGACTTCCTCTAACAAATTGTGGTTGATCATCTCCGCGTTTTCGTAATGGAGTCAAACAGGAACAGGTCCATGTTTGCACATACAATTCTGTGCTGAGCATCTTGCAGAATCCCCTGGGCTCTGTAAGACCTGTATATTTTCCACCAATTTGGGATGTTTGTATCTTTCACCAGGGTCTCTGACTGATGAATTGCATTAAACTGAACTTGATCTTTGACAGTAGTCATGGCCTCAAGTCTGTGAGGTTCTTCATAAGTCTCCATGAATTGATCTCACATTCAATGAGAACTTCGATGAGAAATGATCAATAGCCTGACAGCAGAAGCCAGTATCTACATTCTAGTTACACTGCCCCACACTAATGGGTGGAAAATGGAATTGGACCATCTGCCTTCTTGTGTGGCCTACAGAGAGGAGCCCATGAGATCAGAGAGATCCGGCAGTTCCACTTCACCGGCTGGCCAGACCATGGCGTCCCGTATCATGCCACGGGGCTGCTCGGCTTCGTGCGGCGGGTAAAATCGAAGTGCCCCGCCAACGCCGGGCCCATGGTGGTCCACTGCAGGTACGTGTGGAGCCCCTTCCTAGTTCTAGACTCCTGAGTGTCATCTGTAACATTGAGTATCTATACAAAGTGCCCTGACTACTTGAAAACCAGGGTCTTGTAAAAAATATTGGGTATTTCTCAATATGCGTACTTGATGGTACTTGTGTTCTCGCATTCCCATTTTACATCATCTTCCATTGCCAAAGTCCAGTTCTAATACTCAAGAACTGAAGTACAGAAGATAGTAAAAATCCCCGGATGTCGTTCTTGCCTTTCCCCAAATATCAAGGATGCATTGGTTGCATCCTCACCATACGAGACCAATCCCATGATTCACTGCGCCCCAAGTTCATTCTTGGGAGGGAAGGTAGCAAGACCAGTTTTGCCAAGACCACAAGTACGTTCTTCATGTCCTTGATATTGAGAAACACCCAGTGTCTCCTTTGAAAACACCTTGAGAGGATGTATCCCTTGTCGACCCGCTGTATTGAGAACTCGCTGTCTCTCTGCTTCTTAACCCTTTCAGTGCTGGTGCCGGACGCACAGGCTGCTTCATCGTGATCGACATCATGTTGGACATGGCGGAAAGGGAGGGGGTGGTGGATATCTACAACTGCGTCCGGGAGCTGCGTTCCAGAAGAGTCAATATGGTCCAGACAGAGGTAGGGCACTGGAAAGTTCCACTGTGCAAACAGCGGGGGGGTATGGGATGGGTACAGAACCCGCATCAAATTCAGAATAGGATTTCTTGTTTATTACCAGACATTTAATGGTCTGACTTTTGATCCATAATGCTATCTGTTTTTTCTAATGTATTTTGAATTTGTTTTTTATCTTGAAATTTGTGGTATGGAAGATGATTTCTAAAAAACCCAAGCATTCTTTTACCACCTTTATTTTATTTTTAGTTTTTTTAGTTTAGTTTTTATTGCTTTTATTCTTAATTTTTGGGGCATGGTTTGGGTGGTGTTAAACAGTGCTGCCATCTTTCCTGTCTCTACTGGGGCCCAGTTATCTTTGTCAAACTTAGCTCATCACCATGATCCCTTTTAAACTATGACTGTCCATCGTGTCACCTTAGTGTGAAAAATACGATGGCCGCTCTTTGCCCGGCTAACTTACTAGTTCAAGTGTGTGACGTCACGTTAGGCTTACCCAGAATCCCCAATGTCAGGGGGAATTTCAAGTGACAAGGAGAGACGTTTCTGGAAATGTCACTTTGCAAGCGATTTATGTCAAGCGCCCAGCGGTGTCTCCTTGAACGAATGACAGATATTATGGGCGACGAGAAGACAGCACACTCCCCAGGGTCTCGTGCCGAGGAGTCACCAGTAGGCTGTACTCGTGCCGAGGAGTCACGCGGTAATGAAGTGTGAGGTGGAACTAATCTGGGCATACAAGGCAAGAAATCTGATTAGTAACAAAAAGGGGAACCCGCACAAAAAATACTCTGGTTACAAAACTTGGACTGCCTCCAAACAAATAAAATAAAAAGAAAAAAACATAGTAGTAATGCCGTTAAGCTTCCCGGAAAAAATAAAACTGTAACAAGTTAAAGATATTTACAATAGCTTAGCCCATAGGCCTTGGGCTATTAGAGAATAACTTCATAGCTTTAATTTTTAATGTTTATAGTTTTTTAATAGCCTTGAAAATGGAAAGCACAAACATCCATATACATTGTAATCCATCTGCTGGGATCACAGTGCAATATTTAACGCTATACATATACGTTACGCGTATTTATTACGTTCGGCCGAAAGAGGGAGGGCTGCTGTTATTTTAAAATTGGACACGTTGGTAATCAGATTTCAGCGTCACAATCAAATTTTGGGCCATTAGCTTAGACTAATTTCATATATACCTGCGTTGAAATGTGAATTTTAGACAGGGTGATTTCCAATGTGTTTTTTTTACATTATTATATTTGGTATGCTAGACTTATCCACATTTATTTGACCTCAGTATACCCACACACGACATATAAATAATCCGGCCTTCCTAACTGAAAATCCAGCGCCACTTCATACAGTTTGGTTGTGATTTGGTTGTAATTAGTCCACCGTTTGCTACAATGTCGACATTACAGCGTGTTTAAAAGATGGGGGCCTTCAGATAGCGTGATGCCTTTAGTGTAGCATATGGGATAAAGTCCCATTTTTAAACTTTTTTCCACAAATAGTATTAGGGTTAGGGTGCTTTTAACCACTCCTATCGTATTTATTTTTGCCCCTGCTTGTAGTAACTCACCGGCCTCCGTCTGTATGAAACAGCCATAGGCAAAGGGGTTGTTCACGAACACTGAAAATCCTGCTTTTCACATCTGTTCATTTTCTGCGTGAGGAATATCGCGACCCCTTTCCCCCCCCAGGAGCAGTACGTCTTCATCCACGATGCCATCCTAGAGGCCTGCCTCTGCGGAGACACCACCATTCCTGCCTCTCAGCTCCGCTCTGTCTACTACGACATGAATCGCCTGGACCCCCAGACCAACTCCAGCCAGATGAAGGAGGAGTTCAGGGTGAGCATGCAGTTCCCAACCCCAGCCGTTGGCAGTCGCCTTGTTTGATTGATGCATTAATCCATTGTTTCCCAACCCAGTCCTCAGGGACCCCCAGACAGGCCACATTTTTGCTCCCTCTCGACAACCCAGCCAATCAAGGACACCGAATACCTGTCACAGGTGTGCTGGGAGCTGGGAAAGACCAAAAATGTAGAATGTCTGGGGGACTCCGAGGACTATGGGAAACACTGAATTATTCTGTGTACATTATCTGAACTAGATACATTATTGTATTTATGTACATAATTGATTATATTGATTGTTCTTGATTATTGTGCAGGATGCCCCAGAGTAAATTTCTCATATGTAAAATATGATTCTAATTACTTGGAGTTTCAACCTGCCTTGTGATTTAATTTCAGAAAAAAAATACTGTCTGCTGTAGTTTATAAGCAGGGAGTTTGTTTTTTATGTCAGTGACAGGAAGCATGAGCAGTTAGCAGTTAGAGTGCTAACCAGTAGCCCCCCCCCCCCAGACTCTGAACATGGTGACCCCCACGCTGCGGGTGGAGGACTGCAGCATCGCCCTACTCCCGCGCAACCACGAGAAGAACCGCTGCATGGATGTGCTCCCTCCCGACCGCTGCCTGCCCTTCCTCATCACCATCGACGGCGAGAGCAGCAACTACATCAACGCCGCGCTCATGGATGTAGGTGGCCCAGCCGATTGGCCCCATGACCCCACCCACTGGCCAACCCTTAGCCCTACCCACCAATCATAAGAACATAAGAAATTTACAAATGAGAGGCAGAACTTAACTAAAAGCTCAGGGTTTTAGCTTGCGCTACACTAGCAGGAAGATTATTCCATACTCTAACTACACACTGAGTAAAGAAGTGCCTTCTCAAATTCATTTTAAAATGTTCTCCCACTAATTTCCACTTATGAGTTTTAGTATTTAAACTAAAAGTGAAGAAGCCATTTGGCTGAACTGCATCCAGACCTGTTAGAATCTTATATACCTGGATCATGTCCCCCCTTAGTCTCCTTTGCTCGAGGCTAAACAGATTCAGCTCAGCTAACCTCTCCTCATAAGACATTCCTCTAAGACCAGGAATCATTCTTGTAGCACTATGTTGCACCCTTTCCAAGGCAGCAATGTCCTTCTTAAGGTATGGTGACCAAACAATATTCTAGATGGGGTCTTACCAAGGAATTATATAATCATAGTATCACCTCCCTTGACTTAAACTCCACACACCTAGAGATGTAACCCAACATCCTATTGGCCTTTTTAATTGCTTCCCCACACTGGTGAGAGTGGGACATGGAAGCATCAACATACATACCGAGGTCTTTCTCGTAATCAGTTACTATTATTTCAGTGGAACCCATAAAATATCTGTACTTTATATTTCTGCTCCCTGCATGGATTACCTTACATTTATCTATGTTAAATTTCATCTGCCAGGTATCAGCCCAGTCGCTAATTAAATCAAGATCCCATTGTAGCCTCTGTGCTGCTAGATCAGTATCTGCTACACCACCCACCTTGGTGTCGTCCCCAAATTTAACCAGTTTACTGTATTTATTGGTGTCAATATCATTAATGTAAATTAGGAACATTAGTGGTCCTAATATTGAACCCTGTGGTACCGCACTATGAACACAGGCCCACTGTGACATTGTGCCACTAATAACGACTCACTGCTTCCTGTCTGTTAACCAGTTTTCGATCCAAGCTGCTACAGTTTCTAAAATCCCTGCAGCTTTGAGCTTAAGCAGGAGCTGTTTGTGGGAGACAACATCAAAGACCTTCTGAAAATCTAAGTAGATCACATCGTAGGCCTTTTTGTGATCAATTTCTCTTATAGCTTCCTCAAAAAACTGAAGTTAGTTAGTTAAACAGGATCTACCTCTAAATCCATGTTGGCTGTCCCTCAGAATGTTATTTGAATCCAGATAATCTACAATTTTTACTTAGATTGTAGCTTCCATTACTTCCATTACATTACCATTTATGCAAGTTAAACTGATTGACCTATAGTTTGCTGGATTGCTTCTATCCCCTTTTTTGAATATGGGCGTTATATTAGCATGCGTCCAATCAGAAGGTACCACACCCGCAGATAACGATTTCTGGAATAGTAAAGGTTGGCTAATAATATCCCTCTCTTTTAAAACTATAGGTAAGATGCCATCAGGGCCCTGTGATTTATTTATTTTGAGCTTAGCTAGGTCTTGTACCATATCAGCCTGAGTTATACATATATTGGTCATAGACGACGCTGTATTCGTACTAAATGGTGGTAAGTTACTCGTGTTCTCTACTGTGAACACCTTTGTAAAATAATCATTAAACTCATTTACTATATCAATTTCATTTTCAATTATAAGGCCCGTACTATCTTGCAAAATAGTGATTTCAGCTTTTAGAGCTCTTTTGGAGTTAAAATATTGGAAGAAACTTTCAATGTCGTCCTTCGCCTCCAATGTAATCTTCCTTTCTACATTCCTCTTGGAGTCTAATGTTATTTTTTAACTCAACCTGTAGATTTAGATACTCCTGCTTTATTTTGAAATCATTAGTTATTTTTTCATTTGTGGAACAGAGCCCATTTCCTCCTGACTTTCTTCTTAATTTTCTTAGTAAATCATCTTTGTCTCAGTTTCCTAGATTTAGTTTTGCTGGAAACAGGTATGAAGTCCTCTTGCAATCCTGACCCTCACCCAATCCACTGGCCAACCCTTAGCCCCACCCACCAATCCTGACAAATCACTCAATCCACTGGCCAACCCTTAGCCCTACCCACTAATCCTGACCATCACCCAATCCACTGGCCAACCCTTAGCCCTACCCACTAATCCTGACCATCACCCAATCCACTGGCCAACCCTTAGCCCCACCCACCAGTCCTGACCATCACCCAATCCACTGGCCAACCCTTAGCCCTACCCACTAATCCTGACCGTCACCCAATCCACTGGCCAACCCTTAGCCCCACCCACCAATCCTGACCATCACCCAATCCACTGGCCAACCCTTAGTCCCACCCACTAATCCTGACTATCACCCAATCCACTGGCCAACCCTTAGCCCCACCCACCAATCCTGACCATCACCCAAACCACTGGCCAACCCTTACCCCCGCCCACCAATCCTGACCATCACCCAAACCACTGGCCAACCCTTAGCCCTGCCCCTCAGTCCTGACCATAACCCAATCCACTGGCAAACCATTAGCCCCGCCCACCAATCCTGACCAACTCCCAATCCACTGGCCAACCCTTAGCCCCACCCTCTGGTTCCAACCATAACCCATTCCACTAGACAATCCATGGCCCCACGCACTAGTCCTGCACACAATCCCATCCACCTATGTCCCTATCCACTGGGCAAGTCCACAGCCCCACCCAGCAATCCTGCCCACTGTCTGCAACCACTTGCTCCAGCCTCACAACTGGGGAAGCCCACTCTGACCCACACGCAGCAGTAAATATACAAGCTGTCTGTAATTCCTGAAATCCGGTACCAGCAGCAGCAGCTGTAATGTGACACTCACCATTAGACAGAATCATTTATCACAGGGATCTGAAGGAAAAATTGGGCAGCGGAGCGAGAGTCATTTCCCCCAGAATCTCTCGCTTTCCTGTCACGTTTAACGTGTCGGTTTTCTAGTCCAGCCGTCTGCTGAAGTAGCAGGAACAGAGAGACGGACAGAATGAGGTTCCTTGCTCAGCACAGCTATGAGTGTCTCTGGCTTGCTTCTCTGAACCAGGCTTATACCTCAGTCTGCCCATCATTAGTGAGGCCTGCCTAACCTTAAGCACTGACTTCAGGCTGAATATAAATTTTCACATCACTGTCCGATGAAAACCGTCTTTGTCCATTTTTTGTCGATTGTGTCTTTTTACTATAGATGGAATATGCTCATTCTCTGTCTACTGATAGCATCTGATATCTAATTGACCAGATGTTTTATGAAGTAATCGATTTAAATCGTATTTATGTTTGTACTTGAGATTAGATATGGTTTGTATTTGTGGTGCTAAGGCAAGGGTGGGCAATCTTATCCAGAAAGGGCTGGTGTGTATGCGGATTTTTGATGCAGCTCCCTAATTAGATTACTAATTGGAGGACTGATTGGTTGAAGAGTCCTCACACCTGGCTTTGAACAGCTGAACTACAGGTTATTCCAAAAGCCTGCATACACACCGGCCCTTTGCAGATAAAACTGGCCACCTCAGTGCTAAGGGCACATTGTTTTGGGTTTATTACAGGTTTGTTTTGTAAAGTAGTTTCTGAGGAAATGCTTTTTTCCCTATGCTGAAATAACGGATTTTCGGAGATATGTGTTTCTCATCACACAGCAGTGATATGCAGATCTCCTTCCGAGGACTGAAACGTCTCATTATTACTTCGTCACAGTTTGTGTTGGATTTGTTGTTTTCTGTCTAATGCTAAAAGATACATCTGCTGAAATCACCAAGTCTGTGCTTTTATGCCGTGTCAGTTTATTCAATTGCTGCATTTGTGCCGAAACTGAATGCTTTTAACCGGGGGGTGGAAACAAATCTGTATTTATGGGAATATAGTCACAGAACCTTCTTGGTCAGATGGAGAATTGCGGTTGCGTGATTCTGTGAAACTCAGCAGGATTAATAGCTGCAAACTATTCACTTTTTTCCTGCTTACTGCTACATTTACTGCTTTATTTACAAACAAAACACAGCCTTGGACAGACAGACTATTTTAATCGCAAAGGAAAATTAAGGGGATTAATGAATCAGTGTAATGCCAGGAACCAGACATGATTCGTGAGCTTTTATTCTATCTACCCCAGAGCTACAAGCAGCCATCGGCGTTCATAGTCACCCAGCACCCGCTGCCAAACACGGTGAAGGACTTCTGGAGGCTGGTGCTTGACTACCACTGTACCTCCATCGTGATGCTTAACGATGTGGATCCAGCCCAGGTGAGCGTACCAAGCAAAGACTGGCGAGACAGCGCTTAATAATGTGAAATGCTGGCCACCATGTCGACCAGAGGTGTCCAAGCTTTGGGGCAAGGCCCCCAGGCGGGGTATGTAGGAAACGTGAGGGGGCAGGTGAGCGAAAATAAAACAGAGAACTATGTGTGGGATTGGCGGTGGGGGCAGAACTTTTTCAAAATTGCAACCTTTAGAAATATTAGAAGTCATTTGAACTGTTCAGATGCCAATACATTATATGATGCTAACAAATTAAAATGATTACATTTGATTAAATTCAGTTCAATTTATATTCATACGGCGCCTTTCACAACAGAGTCACCCCAAGGTGCTTTATGCGGATGTGTTACGATACATCACAGCATCATTAGCGCAGAATAATACAAAATAAGGATCTGTGTGTGTGTGTGTGTGCGTGCGTGTGCGCGCGTGTGTGTGCGTGCGTGTGCGCGCGTGTGTGTGCGTGTGTGTGCGAGCAGGTTTACCTATCCTTATGGGGACATAATGTCCCCATAACGTGATAAATATCCGTTTTTTTTCTCTTATGGGGACCGGTTTCCTGGTCCCCATAAGGGAAAACTCTATTTTATAAAAATCGGTGACTGCTATGAAAAAACTAAAACTGCAAAAACTCTTGTATTTTGTTAGGTTACTTATGGTTAGGGCAGGGTAGGGGTTAAGGTTGTCATAGTTAGCATTAGCATTTTTCCCATTGAAATGAATGAGCGGTCCCCATAAGGATATGTATACCCTACATGTGCGTGTGTGTGTGGTTTTGTTTTTTGTTTTTTTTTGTGGGGGGGCAGGACAAATAAAACCTGGCTAACAATACAATCACTTTAAAAAACTTGCCAACAGTTTTTTTAGAATGATAGGATTCTTAGGCCGGGTTCTATTGAACCAGTATGAGAATGTATTCGCTGATGAGACTTCTAAGCACTTACGCAAGTCGCTCTGGCTAAGGGCGTCTATCAAATGCTGTAAATGTAAATGTATATCAGTCCTGGGGGGGGGCGTGTCAAAAACAAGTTTGAATACAACTGATACAGGTGGAATTCTTTGGGATTGTTCTGTCTAGGATGAAACAAGCTCACATCAAGGCAGAGAATGAGTACATAAAATATGAATAGGAGAGGCAGCGTGTGGCTCAGCAGGTTAGGATGCTGGGCCTGTGATCAGAAGGCCAGCAGCTCCCACACTGGGCAGAGGGATTCCAGTGGTGGGCCCCTGAGCAATGACCTTAACCCCTAACTCAGTAAATAGAATGTAAATTGAATAGCATAAGGATGAGAAAGTGTAGCATCATGGGACAAAAGCATGTTAGATGACCTAGACACTATGAGTCTAGAAGGAATGGAGTGCGAACATATAGTTCTGTCAAAACACCCAGGGATCAAAGCATTACACACAGCATTTCTTCTTCAATTCCACCCCCGCACCCCCCCCCCTCCCCCAATGCCCCCCCCCCCCCCCCCCCCCCTCCTGCGTGTCTGGTCTATAATCCTACATTCTGACTGTAACCCCCAGGAGTGCACAAAGGGGTCCTGCTATCAGAATTTCTGTCTAATATCAATTTCTTTCCAAGTTTGATGCAGCAAAAAAAAAATGGAGTGTATTTTTTATTGACGAAGTTAAATTGTGCATCGTAGATGCCTACAGCGTCCGCTCAGCTGGTTATCTTGTTTTGGTGG